GGAGGAGGAGGAGGAGGAAGAGAAAGAAGAAGAAGAAGAAGAGGAAGGAGATGATCATGGTAATGAGAGAAGGAATAGAAGTGAAAGAAGTTGATGGTAGAGGAGATGAGGTGGATGATGGGATGAAGGGGAGGAAACATTTGGAGAGGCAAACGGAAAGAGTACAAAGCCAAGAACTGGTAAGCCTCAGCGTGAAGGCTGAGTGATCTGAATTGCAGTAAGTATATCGTCCCGATATCACGAATGTCTGATGGCATACCGAATTCAGTAAACCTGTATCGAGCTTTCTCATCACTGTTGAGTCGGCAATCGTTTGTGCGAAAATAGGATCGTCGCCAACTGACATCATGTGTACACATCGAAACGAAACCTTCTGCCTATAATTCAATTACCGCATCCCCCCCCCCTCCGGTTTTCTTGATGTTGACTGGGCACACGTCAATCTACATGGCAGTTAACGCACGTCATCGACGACTTCTAGGCAGCTTAGCCTTGACCAAAAAAACGTGCGACTTCTTTTTTTGGTAATTTACCACCCCCACCCGCGCCTTCTGTACTATCCATTGCCCAAACGAATCCAATCTGTGCTGCCATCAGCCAATAAGAACCTGCAGGCCGTCAGTGCATGCGTGCGTGCGTGCGTGTGTGTGTAACGTCTTGAGCCACAATAAAAGACAGCCTTCGTGGCCCTCATAGAATTCCGTCTCTGCTGCTCTAGTTTCTACTCCAAATGGCGCTTCCACAGGCAGAGATATTCGAGGACCATTTTCCCCTGATTCGAAGCTGCCCTGCGTTGAACGAAATTCATCTTGCTCAGGACATAAAAGATCTGCGGATAGAGGTATGTTTCCTTACAGCGGACATTTGTGTGTATGATTGCCAGGTTAAAGGCGGGGCAGTGCTCTACGCCGATCGAATAATACAAGCGGCCCGTATTCCTTCGTTGCAAACCGTTCTCAGTGGCCCTCTTGGGCAGGTGAATTCGGTTATCAAATGGCCCACAGTGCCTCTCAAGTAAAATTTCCATCGGTTCTCTGATCTTGCTTACTCCTTGCACTCTTTATAGCCTCGCAACTACATTCATTCAGTATGTCTACACGGGTCAGGTGCAGATGACACAAAGTAATGCGAAGGGCATGGTTACGCTTGCCAAAATGGTCCAACTGCCTGACCTTCTTAACTGGGGTGTTACATTTATGGCCAAGGGGTAACTATCCTCCTGGTCTTACCTACGCACACTAAAGCCTCAATTTAGAAAGTCTGCCAGCAATTTGGGACTTTGCCAGGACCCTGAATAGCAACGTACTGGCGGAGAATTGTATCGGCCTGATGAAGGAGCAGTTTGAGCACTTCGTTCAAACCGACCTCTTTGTCAGCTTGCCCGCTGAAACAGTGCTCACTCTGCTCCGCAGCGATGATCTCTCGGTGGGATCTGAGGAGCAGGTCATTTGGGCCATTGCGCGCTGGGTGGGCGCCGGTGGTGCTGCCGATGATAAAAAGCTGAGAGCGCACGCTCCGAAAATGCTGAAGGAAGTGCAATGGCAGCTGACGAGCCTGCAATGTCGCAGTCGCCTGCTGGATAGTTATCCAATACTACGGAAAAGCCCCGAATGTCTGTAAGTGTGTGCCATTTCAGCCCTGTTAGTTTGAGATAAAAGTTCTCTTATGCTTCAGGTGGAGCAGTGGATTGGCGCTGCAGAGCAGGACAAGCCTCCTTGCCCCTTCAATATGAGGCAACGTGTACGCCAGAAGTTCTTCCGATTTAGAGATGACAAGGAACCAGTCATCGCTGCTGCATACCCCCTTATTAGGCCTGTGTCTCGGTTGCGACCACTTGCACCAGCGGTATCATTATCATCACCGTCGTCGTCGTTGAAACCACCATCATACCATACCCTCTCTTCTCTCTTGAGAAAAACGTGAATACTCGGATCACCACCACAGCCGCTGCCACCGCCACCGCTATCACCTCCACCACCATTCCTCGTAATCATCCTCGATTTCCTCCTCCTCCTCCTCCCCCTCCTCCTCCTCCTCCTCCTCCTCCTCCTTCTTGCTTATTCTTCTTCCTATTCTTCTTCTTCTTCTTCTCCTCGTCTCCATCGTTCTCCTCATCATCTTCTACGTTCTCTTCCTGCTCCTATGCCTACATCTCGATGCCTTCGCCAGTATGACCTATGAGCATTTGAATAAATTGAAATTCTTTATCCTCAATGCTCAGTCCAGTCTAGTATTTACTGTTGGTAATCTTGTCTTGGGCGTCTTTCCTCGTTTTCACGATTTACTAACCAATTTCTATGATTTGCGAGACGGCAACATTGACTCTTCTACCAGAAATATCCTACTATTTTCACCGTAAGCACTGCAAATGAACCTATATTTAATTTCTGTGGGATTGAATTTTCAAGGCTGATATGGTGTTACAACCTTCCTCGCATTGAAGTACTTCAGATGGTAGAGATAACCAATGGAGTTGGTTATGTTTAGGCTTCCCATCACACAAATATCCACCACCTTCTAATGTTCTCAGATCATACACTCTAGAATCATTTTTTTTACATTAATCTGCTACCTGAGAGGATATTAAATTCCACCCCTACAGTGGTCGCAAAAGTAGTACTGTACAAGGAACCAACGAAGAGACTATCGGTGTGACGGCCAACCTCAATAATATGCGTACGTAATGAGTGCGCTATGCTGTGCAATGTAGGGCAATTATAATAACGGATGAAAGTATGTAAAGAAGGATTTCTTAGACTAACATTACCGACAAGGACAAGGAAGACTGGGATGGCCATTTCTGGCGTTTTAGCCGACGTCAGACAGTCATGCTCAATCCGGAAGTGTAGAACACCTGGGGCTCCATTCCGCCCCTGTTGGTTTGAAATCCAACTCCTCTAACCACCGAGCCACGGGCTGGCCATTCAAGTCGCCCTTGTCCTTGTTGGTAATGCAAGCTCTAACTATATTACGCGCCGCTGTGCGGCTGCTGGTTGGGCTCGAGAGAGAGAGAGTGATAGCCCTAAGGCCCAACGGGACGAGAGAGTTCACGTAACATATCGACTTTAACGAGACCCGCTGCGGTCGGATGTGGTTTGGTAGCCCCACCTGATGTAAGCCAACACCAGTCACCTCTTATAGGGAGCCGGTCGTAATAGGGGTTAAGGTAAGAATCGGGAGATGACATCCAAAAAAATCCGTTACCTAGAAATAATACCTTTAATAGTGGACTCAAACGCCTTCAGGCTATATCAGCGGTGGCATGCCTACTTTCACGCATTTCTTGGACTTTCCGCGACGGCCTAACATGGGCCGGCTGAACGAACATCGCAGGAGGTTACATGGACGATGGTCGCGGTTACCCAACCTTCCCCATCGTTAAACCCGTACACCTGAATATACGGCATACATTCGCATTATGGCAGTTTATTAGAAAACAAAATCACTTTTAAATAGGATAAGTCTGCACAACATGAGACAGGAACAGTTCCCAGGCATCTGTAAAAGACATAACATTAAGGTCAAACCAAAGACGATACTGTACTTCGTCTATGTGAGCCCACACAGCTCGACGACACACATGGCCTCCCTCGTGGGGTTTCCTTTCAGACTACTTCAGTAGGCCTCAGAGGCATTGGTGTGCGGTCCGGTGGTAGGATCCTTGAAGTTCTTTGAGTTGCTAACAGAGAAATGTAGATAACCTTCTGAGGGAAGACGATTATACGCCTTCCACTCGTCCGTTACCACTATACTGCCTTTGGTGACCAATTTTGTAATAACGCAACGGAGAGCGGGCCAACTTCGATCATTCACCTGTTCAACTAAGGCTTTTTGTCGCCTAGTATCGTACATCCCGCCCAGCCATCACCCATAAAACCCCTATTACCACCTGTCCCGTAAGACAGGCTGCTTTGGTTAGGCGGATTTTTTAGGTGACATCTCCCGATTGTTACCGTGGCGTGTACACACCCCGTGACATGGCCACTCACTGGATTAGTGATAGGAGGGTGCAATCACAACTGGAAGTCCACGGAGGGGTTAATACAAGTGGAGTCAAGGAACGCACATGCCACGAAGTCAATTAGTTGTATGCAAAAGAAAAGCTATTGAAAGAACGTGGTTGTAATTGCAATGGTTGAAAAATAGTTGCACCAACTCCTAAAAGTAATCCTGAATCCTAATTATAACCCCCTTATCTTAAACCCCATCCGCAACCCTAACCATAACCCCCAACCTCAACCCCAACGGTATTGTGTCCATTAGGTGGGCCTACTGAACCACCTCTTACCCCCGCTGCTGCATGAACGACCAATTAGTGCCTGGAGTATAGGCCATTATCGGGAGCACACCTGGAGCTGCTGGGCCCTGGACCGTGAGACGCCTGCACACCTGGCCAGATAAAATCGATCACTCTCAATACGTAGCATGATATCGATCGCAGTACACGCACGTGGTTTCTGCCAGGTGGACATGCGTTTAACGCGAGGAGGGGCGCACATTACTAACCTTGACAATGTCGTCAAAGTGAGCCGATTGCCGTGGCGTGCGCAATTGATGTGTGCGTGTCAATGAACATTAACAACCTGGTCACAATCCAGCTTCCATTTTTAATAAACCTTCACCGTATATCACCCTTGGCTGATGAGATTATTGCTAAATATGTTATCACCGCAGTGCGCTTATTTTGTACGCAAATGGTTCTGTAGATTTTTCGCACTATTAGTTTATTTCGTGGGTTCTTTAGGCAGTATTACTATTTTGAGCATTGTGAAGCTGGGATTCTACCTAATCTCAATGAGCGTAAGAATTTTGAGGAAAATCTATTTAGGGCAAAAGAGTAGGGGGCGTAGAGAGGTGAAGGACATAGGAGGATGTATTGATTAAGATTGAGTAACGTAATGATATTATTTCCTACCAGGTGAACTGTTTAAGAAGGGAAATATTTCGACTTGAAGCGATCATAAACAGAAACATTTAATTCCGAGTATTCTATGCCAAATGCTTGAATAAATCCAGGAAATTTAATCGCGTTTGCTCATCCGTTAAACGTATTATTGAACTCTAAAGCGAAGAGGTTGACATGCAGACTTCTCTTTCAGAGAGCACTCTCATTTGAAATAGTGCCTTTTTTCGTCTTCAAGTTGACCGCTGTGTTTGCCCATTTTCCGCATCACAACCCATGGTTCTACTTATCCAGGTTTCCTTAGATCGATCTACCATACCAACCTTAATCTAACTTACAAAAATTAGTCGTATTTAGCCTCTCAATCATTCCGCAGTTCTATCACGCATAATATAATTCCATAGTCGATTTATTCTGAGGTTGCATTAACACGGCTGGCACGTTTTTGCGTTTCTAGTCATAATTACTGAAGTACTGGCATCAATATTTCACCGTCAATATCCCCAGGAGTCAGCAGTGGGGGTTCGGACCACAACCACCACCACCACCACTACAACCATCGCCACCACCACCACTACCACCACTACCACCACCAACACCACCACCACCACCACCACAAC